GGGGGAAGGGAGGCCCGCCTCGCTCTCACCGCGCTCTCTCCTGCTTGCAGTTCGCCTTCCTGTTCTACATCCTCACCTACGTGGGAGCCGTGTTCAACGGGCTGACGCTGCTCATCCTGGGTAAGGCTGGGCGGGGGTGAAGGAGGGTCGGGGGGGGTGCGGGGCTGGACCAGCGTGTAGGCAGCAGGGGGGTAGCGCTGGCTGTGGGGGGCTTCCCACAGCAGGGGGCGCTGGGAGCGGTGGGGTGTGTGTGTGTCTGACCTGCCCCTTTCTGCCCCCAGGTGTGATAAGTGCATTTACTTTCCCCCTGCTCTACCGGCAGCACCAGGTGAGTGGCCGGGGGTGGCTCAGGGCCACGTGTGCCATTGGGATGGGCTAGCGGGGCCAGCGCACCCGAGCTCACGGGCTGCTGCTGGCGGCTCTGCACCCCCAGGAGCCGTCTGGCTCTGCACCCGCCCCAGGGCAGGAGAGAGAGAAAGACGGCGCCCCCTAGAGGGGAAAGGCCCCATGTCCCATTCCCTGCCCCCCTGAGCTAGGGAGTCCCCCGCCCTGGGGCTGGCTGGGATCCAGCGCCCCCTAGAGGGGAAAGGCCCCATGTCCCGCTCCCCACTCCCTGAGCCAGCCAGTCCCCGCCCTGGGGCCGGATGGGAGATGGCGCCCCCTAGAGGGGAAAGGCCCCATGTCCCAACATGGAATCATAGAAGATGAGGGTTGGAAGAGGCCCCAGGAGGTTCTAGTCCAACCCCTGCTCGAAGCAGGACCAACCCCACATTCCCTGGAGCTCTCACTTTTGTTCAGGGATCCCCGGAGGCGTCGGGGGGGGGGACCCCAGGCAGCGATTTCCGGCTCTCCGGGGGCCCTGTACCTGCGCGATGGTCTCCGGTGGGGGCGGTTGCCCAGACACACACACACACACACACACACACCCCGTTTACCTCTCACTTCATCTGTTCCAGGCACAGATCGACCAGTACGTGGGGCTGGTGAGGAACCAGCTGAGTAACCTCAGAGCCAAGTAAGGGCCCCCCGCACCCCTCGTGTCTGCATGGGGGGAGGGGACGAGCTCCCGGCTCTGCCAGGAGCCACACGGGCCACAGCTCATCGTCTCCCAGGCAGCCATAGTGACCCCACAACGCAGCCCAGAGATGACACGCCCTGCAGCGTGGCACCCCCTGCCGAGCCCCCGCCCCCCTCCCGTCGGTGCAGTGCCCCCCCGAACCTCCTGTCCCCTGCCCGTCAGCACGGCACCCCCTGCCGAGCCCCCCACCCAGCCCCCCGCCTGCCTCCCGTCAGCGCGGCGCCCCCCTGATCTCCCCCTCCCGTTGGCACGGCGCCCCCACCAAGCCCCCGCCC